TAAAAAAAAAAAAAAAAAAAAAAAAAAAAAAAAAAAAAAAAAAATAAATAAATAAGTAAATAATTCTTTTTGTATTTTAATTTATTTATTTAAATAAATATAAATAAATAATAAAAATAAATAAAAATAGATAATTAATAAAAATATATAAAAAAATAATATAGTTAGGTGCATATACACCCCAACAACAACAACAACAGCAGCAGCAGCAGCAGCAGCAGCAGCAGCTGCAGCAAGCTTTATAAACCCTCAATATTTACGCCAAATTTATTTATTTATTTTATTTGTTTATTAACTTATTTAATTATTTAATTATTTATTTAATTATTTAATATATTTATTTATTATTTATTTATTTATATATAAGCCTATTATACATAGTCTAGTTGTACAGCAAATTATATACCTGTATAGATCTGCAGCAGCAGCAACAACAACAACAAAAAGTGCAGCAGCAGCAGCAGCAGAAAGTGCGGCAGCAGCAGCAGCAACGCCAGCAGCAGCAGCAGCAGCAGCAGCAGCAGTTGGTGCTATACAGACTTAAAAGAAGTATTTAAATCCCACATTTAAACCACAAAAAATTGCTGCTGCTGCTGCTGCTGCAGCATATTTGCTGCTGCTGCTGCTGCTGCAGCAGTATTTTTGCTGCTGTAGCAGCAGCTGCTTCTGCTGCAGCATATTTTCTGCTGATTCTGCTGCAGCAGTATTTTTGCTGCAGCAGCAGCAGCAGCAGCCAGAGCAGCATCATGAAAGCTTCGGTTAGGGTTTCGCTGCTGCTTTACTTCCTACTGCTGCTGCTGTTGCTGCAGCAGCAGCAGGTGCAGCAGCAGCAGCAGCAGCAGCAGATCTAGTCTCTGCTAATGCTCTATCTATAAGGAGTTTCATCTCCCTACATTTAAGATGACGCAGCAGAGCGCCTTGCATGCGATTCTCTACATTTTGTGCTAATAAGAGGAACATTTCCTATAAATAAATAAATAAATAAATAAATATAAATAAATAAATAAATAAATAGTCATAAATTAATCTATTTATTCATAAAAAGGGTTTATTTACCGTTTATTAGGGTTTATAACACAAAAAATTAGGGTTTCTGCGCTTCTTAGGGTTTATTAGGGTTTACAAAAAAATTAGGGTTTAGGGTTTAGGGTTTAGGGTTTAGGGTTTACCTGTAACTGTACAGTTTTATTCCATTCTTTTTCATAAAGACGAGCAATTCGTGCCCTCGCGTTTGTTAAACTTGTACGAAGATTTTCTTCCGTCTAAGAAGAAAAAAAAAAAAACGTAAACCCTAAACCCTAAACCCTAAACCCTAAACCCTAAACCCTAGAAATCCTAGAAAACCCTAAAAACCCTAAAAAACACTAAAATTCCTAAACCCTAGAATATAGACAATAGACCCTCAGTACTAAACCCTAAATCGTAATCTATAAACCCTCGATGAACAACCTTAAGTCTTAAACCCTAAACCCTAAACCCTAAACCCTAAACCCTTACCTGCTGCTGATCACCCGATTGCTCGATCTCCTCTCCATTTGTTAATCGCTGCAGCAGCTGCTGCACTTCAAACACTCTCTCTGCCTGTCTATTCCTGCAGCAGCAGCAGCAGCAGCAGCAGCATCAGCAGCAACAGCAGCAGAAGTTAGCATATTGCAGCAACAGCAGCAATATAGTTGTTGAGGTAGGGTTTCCCGTGTCCCTAAACCCTAAACCCTAAACCCTAAACCCTAGGGTTTAGAGTGTATTAAACCCTAGTGTTACGTTATTATAGTGTATTAGGGTTTAGTATATAAATTAGGGTTTAGTATATAAATTAGGGTTTAGTATATAAATTAGGGTTTAGGGTATATATATATAAAATTAGGGTTTAATGTATTATATAAAAAATATAGGGTTTAGGGTTTAGGGTTTAGGGTTTAGGGTTTATGAACCTGCTATCCTTAGCATCATTAATAGTAAGTATACAATCCTTCATAAGAGTAAACACTTTTTTTATTTGTTGCCTAAATGTTGCTTCTTCTTGTGTTATATTTATTGCTGCTGCTGCTGCTGCTGCTGTTGCTGCATCTGCTGCTGATGGATAATGTACACGATAACCATCAAGGGTTTGTGGTCCTTTTATCTGTATACATATACACCAGCAGCAGCAGCAGCAGCAGCAGCAGCAGCAGCAGCAGCATAAGCAGCAGCAGCAGTAATATATGCAGCAGCAGTTCTTGTTATTGTTCTTGTTGTTTCTGCTCAAACCCTAAACCCTAAACCCTAAACCCTAAACCCTAAACCCTAAGATATATACCTGTCTATTATCCGTTCCTTCTGTAGCTCTTATTCCTCCGATCCTGTGTTGCTGCTGCTGGTGCACCTGCTGCTGCTGCTGCTGCTGCTGCTGCTGTTGCTGCTGCTGCTGCTGCTGCTGCTGCTGTATAATATATTTATTATTTATTTTAGGTAATTGTATAAAATAACCATTTAATATACTAATTAATGCGTCACAAACATTTGCAGAAAAAAATGTATTTCTTTGCTGCAGTATAAATAATACTCTTTTGTATTCATCTTTTATATTTGTTGCTGCTGCTGCTGCTCCTGCTGCATTTGCTGCTGCTGCTGCTGCGCATGCAGTTGAACATAATGTACGTAATGAGCTGCAACATAACTGCAGCAAGAAAGGAGCACCGCAGCTGCAGCAACGCTGCAGCACGTCATTTAGTACATACAGCAGCAGCACGAGCTGATTACATCCTGCTGCTGCTGCTGCTGCTGTTGGTGGTGGTTGTCCTGTTGTTGTTGTTGCTGCTGCTGCTGATCCATCTGGACCTATTATTACTCCTGCTCCTGCTGCTGCTGCTCTTATCTGCTTATCTAATGCAGATATACAATGATATACAGCTGGTGTTGGGGCTGCATGCACTAATGCTGCAGATACACCCTGAATGCATGCACTGCTGCTGTCTAGACACCCCAAACCACCCTCAAATGCTCGTAGTCTTGCTGCTTCCTCTGCGCTTAGTGCAGCAGCTGCAACAAAAGGGGGAGCCCCAGGAGGTATTTCCTGAGAATCCCACATAGGGTTTAGGGTTTAGGGTTTAGGGTTTAGGGTTTAGGGTTTAGGGTTTAGATACACCCAAAAAAAAAGAATTGAGAAAACATTACTATAACCACTAATTAGGGTTTAGGGTTTATTCATTGCCCTTATTATTAGGGTTTATTAGGGTTTATTAGGGTTTATTATTAGGGTTTAGGGCTGGAGGAAGGCAGCCCTGATTATGATGGTACAATTGTTGAGCAGCAGCAGCAGCAGCACCACCAAATTGCTGCTTTATTTGCTGCTATTTTATAATTTAATTAATAAATATAAATAAAAAAACAAAATTATATTTAATTCAATTAACAGCAGCAAAAAAAGAAGCAGCAAAAGCGCAGCACCGCATGCAGTAGCGGTGTCAGTGTAGACGTGTGGCCCGCAGCAGCAGCTGCAGCAGCAGCACAAGGGGCAGCAGCAGCAGCAGCAGCAGCAGCTGCAGCAGCTGCTGCTACGGTGTCTGAACACCTTATATTCGAACTTCTTCGGTTATTTCTTGGGACCACGCAGTGCAAGTATCTCTTCTGCAGGCAGCAGCAGCAACAGCAGCAGCAGCAGCAGCAGACACACGAACGAGCAGCAGCAACAGCACAGCAGCAAGCGCAGCAGCAGCAACAGCAGCTACAGCAGCAGGACCAGCAGCAGAAACGACGACACCAACACCATTTTACCTTTTGCTGTTTGTCTATTGTCCCTTCTTCTTCTCATCATTATTATTGTCAGCAGCAGCAGCAGCAGCAACTGCAGCAGCAACTGCAGCAGCAGCAGCAGCAGCAGCAGCAGCACTTACTATACAGCAGCAGCAGCAGATGGCCCTAGGGTTTTCCTATCAGGGGGACAAGGGGTCTGTATCTGTGTGCAGACACACCCCACTGAAAACCCTAAACCCTAAACCCTAAACCCTAAACCCTAAACCCTAGAGAGTCAACGCGGCGTAGGCCGACAGATTGCGGCCTCAATGCCGCCGCTGCTGCAGCTGCAGCAGCAGGAACTGCTGCACATACACAGAGTTCCCCGTATACAGCATCAGCAGCAGCAACAGCAGCAGCAACAACAGCAGCAGCAGCAAGAACAGGAGGGGGACCCTGATTCAGCGCCGGCTGAGCAGCAGCAGCAGCAGCAGCAGCAGCACGAGGAAGCTCCCCCTACACCAGGAAGGCACAGACGCCATTCTGCTGCTGCTGCTGCAGTGCAGCAGCAGCAGGAGCCACAAAATCCGCCGGAGCAGCACACGGAAGCAAGTGCAGACCAGCAGCAGCAGCGGCAGCAGCAGAAGGAGCAGAAGCAGCAGCAGCAGCAGCAGCAGGTCAGTGCTGCTGATGGCGATGGGGGGGATAACTGTGTAATAGACCCTTCAGGTGTATCTGCTGCAGCAGCAGCAGCTGTTGCTGCTGCAGCAGCAGCAGCGGCAGCAGATGTAGCTGCAACAGCAGCGGCAACACCAGCAGAAGCAAATAGCCCAGAAGCAGCAGCAGCAGCGCAAAGTCTTGCTGCTGCTTCTGCTGCTACTGCTGCTGCTGCTGCATCCGCTGTTGCTGCTGCATGCAGCAGCAGCAGACGCAGAGCTCCACCACATTCTGCATCTGCATCTACTGCGCATGAATCCCCTCTGTCCCCACCTGCAGCAATAGCAGCAGCAACAGCAGCAGCTGCAGCAGCAGCAGCAGCACCAGATCTGCTTAAGCCTGCAGCACCTTCCTCCCCTCCTTCAGCGGCGGAGGCTACCGCTGCTGCTGCTCCTGCTGCTGCTGCTGCTGCTGTGACACCGCGAGCAGCGGATGCTGCTGCTAGTGATGCAACGCAGCAGCAGCAGCAGCAGCAGCAGCAACAGCAACAGCAGCAGCAGCAGCAGCACAGATTGCTGCAGCCAGGAGAACGTTTGCTGCAGGATTTAGTTTCTTTACAGGTATCACGAGGC